GTCTCGAAATAACTGCCTGGAGATACACATCAGATCTCGAATATCTTGCTTGGCATGCCACACGGGTTCTTCATTGGAACATATAAATACCCCTCAAGGGTCACGTCAGAAAGGTAATTGAAACCAACCCTAAGCTCCTCTAGTCTTCGCTCTATTGGCAGCCCCGATTATTGCTGACTTAAGCATCGGAGTGTTTACCCCGAGATCCATCTTGGGGCTTTGCAGGTCGATCCGAAGTGCAGATACGGACTGAAGAAGGACATCTGGTTTGGTGCAATTACACTATCCAAAAGCATAACTATCCAAAAGCGCCCATTACGTGCTTGTTTGTTTATTTCTGTACAGACAAATCTATGAATTTGAGATGATTTGGTTGATGATATTTGGTTGTTGAATATACGTGCTAAGTTTTATTTCATTTCAGCATATATGGGTCTATTTAGGCTATATTTAGGTGTTGTGATGGTTTGGTTTTTTTTTTTTGGCTTTTTTTGTTTTTTTGCATTTTTCCCGATTTTTTTAGTCGCCGGTATCTGCATTTGGGTTACCGGAATTCAGTCGGATTCTAACAAACTCTCCGTTTTTTTTTTTTTTTGAAAATTTCTGGTTCTGGTAGTCAAAAAAGAAAAAGCATTTAAACTTCATAACTTGTCATTTTGCTCCTTCTTTGCCTTATTTTTTGAAATTTGGAGCCACCGGAATCTGGAAATTGGACAGAATTGGGCCGAAATTTAACCAGACTCCGACCATGTTCCACCGGTCATTACCCTTTAGTTCAGTCTGTTTTGACCCGGATTCTCTGTCCGGGTCATGTTATCTAGTTCAAGTCGACCTGGTTGCAGACCTAAGTCCTCCTTACTTTGTTGGACTGAGCCTTACCCAAAAAGAATTTTCAAAACAAAAAAGGGGTAAGGTTGATGGGCTGAAATGGGTTGGGTCAAACCCAGTTTAAGTCCAACAGACTTTCCCATTACGTTAATTAAGTTTTAATTATTTAATTAATTGGATTAATAAAATTTAATTAGTTTTTTTAATTATCTTAATAATTTTTAATTAACTTTAATCAATCATTGATTAACTAAATTGGTTAAGATTTAATTAAGTTAATTAAGATTAATTAAGATGATTAATTACTTTTAATTAATTTTAGTTAATTAAGTTTAATAAAGGGTTTAAGTTAATTAAACCCTTAATTTTTTAATACTTAGTTTGTCATCATTTTCATAATTTGGAAATTTTAAGTGGTTATAAATATATTGGCAACTCCATTGGGGATCAAACCCAAAATCTCTGGTTTTCATATTTAGGGTTCACGATGGTCAAACTAATACTTTAACTTTGGGATTTTTCAACTTGTAAATTTTCTTTGCTTGTTGCTTGTTGTTTTGGTGCTTGCTTTTACCTTTTTGCCTTTGAGTGATTATCTTGCTATATCTTGACATGCGTCATGCCTTGCTCACATGTTCATGATCATACACTCTCTCGTGCTTATCCATCATTGATATCACATGCTTATTTATCATGCACCATACTTACATTTGGTTATGAAGTACTAGGTGAGCCCCTTTCTTTTGCGTAAGTAGGTTTGTTTGTGGATGCTATACATGTTGAGTGCTTTACATGCTTTATCTACCTACATCTTTTATCTGCTAGTCGTGGGATATATGTCACCTTTTTATTTGTGCTTGCCTTTTTGCAGGTTATTGGAGTGTCATGCCTCTACACATACTCATTATCATTTTGCATTAGGTTCGAGTCTGAGGTGAACTTGACCTCTAGTTTGGAATCCTTACAAATCTTGCACATAAGAGCAATTCTTCTTATATTGAGGAGTAAGGTCAATTCTTGTTAGGTTGTTTTTGTTTGTTAATACAACGATTGACGATGTAATATCGTTCTGTGTATTAGCTTATGGAAATATCTCCCATGGATTTTGAAAGGAGAAATGGTTGAGAAGGCCTAACGTCCTTTAGGAAACTATGTAGTGGACTTAGAGAGATACCTGCCATAGGACTTGTTCCCCATAGTATCCCACCCGTGAGGTTAAGTGTTCCGTGTTTAAGACACAAAAGGGGGCTTTTACTTTGCTAACCTTTATTTGTGCATGTGACAAGTTTATTCATATTGGTTAGAACCCTTTTTTGGTTCCTTTAATTTAACAAAAAGCTCCTTTTTAATTCTTATACTTAAAAAAAAAAAAAAAACCCTTTTTAGTCTGTAAAGTTTGAAATCTAACCTTTTTTTAGTCCTTCCATTAAGTTTTGGCTTATGTAGCACGTTAATTAACTAAATTGTCTGATTGGTTTTTTTTTTTTTTTTTGTATAAATGACATGGAAAATCCAAAAGTAAAAAATGATGATTTGGCATCCTATATAGACATTGAACATAACATGTAATTTATAAAAACTAAACTTTCGAAATTAACCTTAAGCCTCCTTGTTCATCATTCAACTTTTCTCCTTTTCTTTGTTCACCCTTTTCTCTCTTTCCAAAACCCTAACATGGATCTTCGCTACCTATCTCAAGCTCATCTTAATCTTGGTAATCTTCTTCAAATTGAACATGAACCCAAGTTCTGGGTTTTGCGATGAACTTGGCACCTGGGTTTTGTGATGAACCTAGCTCTTGGGTTTTGTGATGAACATAAATCTAGTTTCATCTTTCCATCATCTACAACCCATATTCAAGATAGGTTAAAAACCAAAAAAAAAAAAAAATCAATTGCAGTACTTCAAACAACTCTCCCAGCATATAACAAAATCCAATAATAATGTTGTTGATAGGGATGGAGATGAGTTTGACAAAAAAAAAAAAAAAACCCTATGAATCCCATGACCACGAAGCTGATTGCCTAATGGAACACCACCTTTTTGATTTCTTTGCAAGTTTGTGGCATTGAGTGACGTCCATTTCCTCTATTTTGATTCAATTAACTTGCTTAGGTTGGATGGGTTTTCATCAAAATATCAGAATAATTATCTAGATTTGCATGTTTAGGATGGATGGGGTGAAGTATGGTTGTTGATGGCGAGAAGAAGAAGAAAAAGAGAAACAAACTTAAACAAAAAAAGGTTTTGGATTTTTTGTAATCGGTGAGGAAGGAGAGGATAAGACAGAAGGGGGAAGAAGATAAGGGCAAATAAGTAATTAAAGTCACTCTTAATCACAAAATAGCCTTCAAAATATTTATAATGACAATTATGTAATTAAATGATTTTCAAGGTTATATTAGACTAAAGTTTGACCATACCATCAACTTTTACCAGATGAATTGTTCCACATAATTTAAGTAAAGAAAAAAAAAAGTTTTCCCATTAATTAATATGTCATATCAGCCAAAACTTAACAGAAGGACTAAAAAGGGTTGCATTTCAAACTTTAGGGACTAAAAATGGGCTTTTTTAAGTATTGGGATTGAAAAGGACCTTTTTGTTAAAGTAGAGGGACTAAAATAAGAATTTAACCATTCATATTTGTTGAGGTATAACACATGAGGGTATGATTCGTGTTTGACATCATTGACCTTTTTTTTTTTTTTTTTGTAGGTAAGCCATACATTGTGCGTCAATTATGGATTTTGCTAAGGATATTGCTGGACAAAGGAAAAGGTCAAGGGAGGATTATGCATCTCATTCTATTTCTAAGGAGTCCAATGAGTATAACTTTTCAGTTAGCAAAACCAAGCTGGACCTAACATTGCTAAAGGCAACCTATGACCTCTTGTCTTCTAAGGAAAAGTATGATTTTGAGGTGCAATTTGGACATATTGTGGACTTGTTTTCTATTGTACCAGATTGGAAATTGTTTAGAGCTATGTTGAAATTTTATGTTCCTAAATATGGGGCATTTGTGTTCCCGTAGTTTGAGCTAGTACTTACTATTGATGAGTATCATCAATTCTTACGATGTAGTCCTACAATGGATTCACATACCTTTACCCCTAAACAGCAGCATATGCAGCTTACAAGTGTAATGGTTCAAGAGATGTTGCAACGTATTTGTGGGTTCTCTTTTGATTTCACACAACCTTTACTAAGCACTTCATGGGATACTTATGGGTTTAATTGGGATACAGCTTTTACAACTATGGGCAAGAGTTTAGCTAATATGAGATCTTTTGAAAGGATCAGATTTGTGCCACTTGGGGTTTATGGCATGGTCATATTTCCTATTTATGTTAAGTTTATTGCACCTATGGTGGTGGCTCTATTTGATTAGTTGTCGTCTACTTCAGCATTCAATACTGCTCCGACTGTAGTTGCTGAAACCTTGAGATCTATGCAACATATTCGAGCAAAATGTAAAGGTCACTTCTTGGGTTGCATTGAGTTGTTTACTGCATGGGCACATGATCACTTAATTGGTCCTTGATTTGAAACTTTGCTTAGTGTTCCTATAGAAAAAAGGAAAGTAAAGGATTGGCATGAAATTTTCTTGTCTGCTTCTATTAGTGATGTCAGATTTGTGCTTTCATCTTGAAGTGCCACTCATTACCTTCATCCACCTGAGATGCACCACTTTATTCCTTTGTTAGGTATTCGTGGGTGAATTTCTTATTCTGTGGAGTTAGCACGTCGCCAGTTTGGAGAAGCACAAGGTGTTCCTTATCTAAATAATGGTTTACCTCCTCCTTTTGATTATGCATCTCCTATGAAGATTGTTGACAAGATATCTGAGGCACGTGAACTGTGGGTCAAATGTAGGATGTTATCGATATGGAAAGAAAATGGAACTATACCAGAATATGAGCAATGGAGGTCTATTTGGATAAAAAAATCTTTCTTTGTCTTTGAAGGTGATAAATACCAAAGAATCCACTATCATAGATTTGACTACTAAGTTGGAGTGTAGCCATGCTCAAAGAGCTCATTTGCAAGAAAAGTATGATGGTTTAGCTCTTGAACATGAATTGCTTAAAAGGGGTAAAGAATTGTCTGATCAGCAAGTGATGAAATTGAAAGACAAAATTACTTTGTTGGAAAAAGACTTGGCTGCCAATAGACAAGTTTGTGTGGAGAAAAAGCGAAGTTCGAAGTTTGCTAAGGAACAAAAGAGAAGGTTATTACAAGTGAAGGCGGATCTCAAAGCAAAAGAGGAGGAGAACAAGGAGCTTGTTGAGAAGATGGCCAAGCAACAAAAATTGGAAGAAGAGGTGGCTCGGTGGAAGAATGTTTACAACAATCTATTGTCTGACTATAGTGCTTTGCAAAAGGAATTACAAGTGGTGAAGCAATCAAAGCAAGGAGGGGAAGAAACTACATCTTGAGTAGCTTATGGAAATTTGTCACTTGAGAACTTACAAACATCAGAAATGTGGACTTCTTAATGAAAATTTGCTTGAATGAATACAATCTTTCTTCCTTATCAAAAGTGTATTCGATAAAGTAAAATCCATGAATAGTATAGAAACTTTCATTTTTGTTCAAGCTTCACTAATCCGGTTCTCCAGGTAGCTCTAAACTCCTCTATTTTCTATTTCTTCTTCTTCTTCTTCTTTTTTTTTTTTTTCTTTTGTTATGGATGTGTACGATTTCTCTGTATTTTGATACCAACTGATTTTAAAATGTGAATGTACTGGTGTCTACCTTATATATTTCAAGATTTTGGGCAGATTGCTCTCGCTTTTCCGTTTATGAGCTTTTATGGCTCGAAATGCTGATTTTGATATTAGGAAAATGATTGAGTGTTTAGGTGGATTTGAGATGGGTTTGCATTATCGATAGGAATTATTGGCTATAGAGAGTTGTGTGCATTTTTGGATTGAACAAGAAAGGCTGAGTCTATTTTATATCAATTGAAGATAGAAACTACTCTTACATCTATAATTTTCATTAAATAGTAGAATGTTTTATTGGGTTTTGCATGCTGGAAATTTTTCAGTATATGATGTTTTTGAATATTGACAGCCTTGGTATAAGAATAAATGGCCTCAGCTCTTCTTTCAGTTGTACATTGCAATTAGCCATTTTGATTTCTTGCTTTATTTCAACATTTTGATTAGTTTTAGAAGTTTGGGTTTACCAATGAAGGAATCTGACTAGAACACTTAACCCCTAGGCAAAACCTAATAAAGTTGATAAGCAATCTATGTTTCTCAGTGTTGCAATTGTACAGCAGATTATGCTTCTTACTTATTGAATTTCTTTTTAACATTAGCAACTACTTAAAAATAGAAATTGGATTCTATTTAATCTTTTTGTAGTGACAGGTGAATATTTGCTTAATATTTACCATTTTTGGCTGATTAACTGTCTACATATCAGTTTGGTTTTGGATGGTTATTCTTATGCTGCTCTTGAAAATGTTTGAACATACATTGCAATTGATGATGTGCTGCTGTCAATTATTATATATTAGACTTTGATACGGATATAATTTCTCCTTCGTATTTGGACCTCAATGTAGTTTTCCTCTTTGTATTGGACTGGCTTATTGAATTTTGTAGGTTGAGTGGGCAGCATTTGATGGGACAAAGAAGAGAAGTTAGATGAAGATACTTGCTTGACTATGATTTGTTTTTCTATGTTGTTTTGACCCTCGATTATCGAGATTATCCAAAATGAAATCAGAAATTGACATGCTTCCTTTTCAAAGCAAACGATTTATCTTCTGTTGTATTAGAGATGATTCTGATGCCCTTTCGTATTTTTCCGGTGAGCATGGACATGGTAATAGGAGAACTGCACTTCAAAAGAGAAGTTTACTAATTCTATGTTAGGTTTTTGTAGTTTTTTCTTTTTTTTTCCTTACTAAAGCTGATTACCATACAGTCATTTAAACCTATGCACATCCTTCATATTTGTATATTATGTTAGAATCTTGCTCATGCATCCCAATAGCCAAATATACTAAATTTGCATATTTGTTCAGAAAACTGATCCAACTAGTTTCTTGCTTTTGATATATATATATATATGCTATTGTATCCATTGCCATCAGCTTTAAAGTTCAATTGATGTTCAGATCGTTTTGATTCTTGAAGCTGTTTCTTTGTTGTTGCATGATCATGCTGTCATGCCACTCAAAAAACGACTATTATAAGCAAGAAACTAGTTGATTGGAACTTCGAATAACTTCATTAATTTAGCTATAAATTCTAATTTAAATGTTATTTCCTCTAGGTTCTCAATACTTCCCAATTGATCCCACTCTTCAATGCTCTATTGATGTCTAAATCTCAATCTTTTTAATGATGCGATCTCTTCATTAAACTTTCTATTATTATTATTTTTTTGTTTTTTTAAGAATGAAAGAAGGTTTCCATTATTACTTAATTCTAAAGCCTTAATTGTAATTACTAATTTTTGTACCGTGGAATTCATAAACTTATACCCTATTTAATATTATTATTATTATTATTATATTTTTTGGTCTTTCTTTTCTCTATTTAAATTATGTTACTCACTACACAGTTCTCAACAATACTTAATTAGGTTTTAAAGAATATGGAATAGAAAGAAAGATGTTGTTCCTTTACAATTAGGTATTTTCAAGCTGAACAAGGGCTCAAAGCACAGACCCCAGAGGAGAATTTGAGTTTCTGGGAAAATCAATCTGACCTTGGCGGATCATGATGGTTCTCATTCTTTTGGTAACATCCATCACCATTTTACCTTTACATTCAGCTGTAATCTTTTTTAGCACCATTACAGTTCCCTCACCAATATTTAATTCTACTTAATTGTTTTCTCAGGAAGAAGATAAAATGGGATTTGGTTTTGGGGATGAGAAGTATTTATATCCAGCATATAACCATAAAAAAATATTTCTTATTTGTATTTTAATTTTATGTATTAATATGATTTTTAATTTGAAAAATAAAATATTATATGAGCAGAACGTTATTATTCTCTCTTTTTTTATGAGATGCATATAATTTCATTTTTATGGGTTCGACAATAAAAACGCTAATATTTTGTTGGACAATAAAGATACTAATATTTTATTAACCATATTTTAAGAACAAATTTTTCTCAATTATTTTAATGACATACTTATATAATAAGTATATTAATATTTAAAAGAATTGTCTTTGACTTTGATCCTTAAGCATATTAGGAAAATCTACAGTACTTTCTTGTAAAATTTTCTTTTTAATTTTTTACACAACGCAGAGAGTGCATTATGCATAATTTTAGTCCAATAAAGATGATAAGAACTTTCTATATCTAAAAACCAAAAATATAAAAACAGAAAGAAGATAGTATGAACTTTGTTCATGGATAAGAAAAATGGCAAATAGGAAGTAGATTTATAAAGATACTAAATTTATTTCATACTCTGTATAAAACAATCAAAGGAAAATATCTGTGGAATTCAAGAAAACAGAAAAAACTATAAAAGTTGAAGTCTCAAAAACTGGCACAGGTTTTCAAAGCAGAACTGGTTTTGTTCTCTATCCATCTTCTCTTTAAGCTGTGTCACATGTTGACTATCATAATTTATTTGCTTTATATGGTTCTCAACGGTCTCCAGATATGATGTCATCTCATATTTCAGCATCGACTTCCCTGGTTAATCTCACAGATTCACGAAAGAAAGGTTGGATGAGAGAACTCCATTGCACACACGGGGGAGGTGAGCTTAGTAAGCAAGACATTTAAAAGAAGTTAAAATAAATATTTTGCATTCTTGATTGAAGCATAATCAGCACAAAAAGTTAAATTAAATATTTTGCATTCTTAACTGAAGCATAATCAACCACAACTGTTAGTAAAAACATTCAGCAAGAAATATGAGGTGGTGAAGGGAAATAGATAGAGTTTACACCTTGATTGTGCTTGTTAAAATATCCAAGTCTTCCTTTAGAGCCAGGTAGCCATAGAGTTGGCGCTTCCCACCTGGATATAATGGAACTCAAAAACAATCCCAAGAAACTCTTTCCTTTTGTTTGTTTTCCTAATCCCAGGCATCTCTATCTTTTCTTTGCTCTTTTAAAAGCTTATGGAGACATACAGCCTCTAAATAACCTACTACTGAACTTTCAAAGATAAAAAATTCAAACCCCGGTGCCCTTTTGAGTCATAGGACTGTCTAGCTTTAATTGCAACATAGGAGTGTTCAAGTAGTTGTTGATTCCCATGCCTATTGACTATAGAAAATAATATTCTGTATGAAACAATGAATTATATGTCAAGTCAAGAATTATTCCACTCAATAATCAAAAGTCAATAAATAGAAATGAATATTCTATGGATAGGCTAATTTGTGATATTAAGCAAGGATGAGAGAATGAAAGTTCCTTGCTATTTTCATCATATTCATATCTTGTATTTGTTATGATAACCATTGGAGGTCAAACCATTGCATAATTTTAACTCTTTCATTTAACTCTTTCATTTAGCCCTTCCACTTGGTTCTCTTGCGGTCCTCATCGCTTGCATCTGAATTACAATCATACTCGTTGAGATTAGCAATTTGAATTGGCAAAGCATTACCATTAGCCAGCCCAATCCACACTTTCGTTTCACCCCCAATATCAGTGGCACCATATAAAACTTGTCTCCCATATGCATTTTTATCAAAAAGAGCGATAATGGATATAGAAACATTTGTACTGTCCTTGTTAGTCTGAATATAAAACAAAGAATTAAAAGAGATTAGATATATACTTTCTAAGAAATAAAAACATGAATAAAGTATTAAGTTCTATTACTTCATGAACTTTAGTTGGTACAATCTTCCAAATGCTATCTTTACGGATTTTATTATATTTGTAACAACAAATATAGAAATCAAGATGATCTTGTCCATCACATATTCATATAACTGATACGAAAGAAAAATGATCAAAAAATGATCAAAACCTAGAATACATGAACACACAGGTATTTGTTAGAAAGCAATTGCTCTTGCTCAACATAACATCAACAAAGAATCTCAATCCCAAATTTTTAAATGGGATTTCAATTTACTCAATATGACTTTGGCCAGGATTCTTTGCATTCTAATGCTAACCGTAAACTAAATGTGAAAGATTAAACCCAAATTAAATCTTTCTATAAACCTCAAAAAGAAAGAAAGAACCTTTAACTTATCTTTACACAAAACCCCTTGAAAAAGTAGATGCTTAATTAAAAATTTATGAAATTTTTTTGAAAATGATAAAAACAATCGAACCACAAAACAAAGCATTACCTTTTTTCCTCAAAGTAGAAGCCAATTCCCATCGGATAAAATTCATGGCAGCAACAGTTGTCAGAGGAATACCATTACAAATTCTCTCTACAAAACTAATAGCAATAGTCTTCATGAACAGACATTGCTTACGGATTCTTTTTGTGCATTTTCTTTTCTCTGCAAATACTAATGTTAGTTGGGATTCTTTAACCTGTCTGTTTGGAGAGTTTGAGAGCTTTCAAGTTTCAACTCTTTCTTTGCCTCTTTTGTCTCTGTTTTCTTTCTTTCTCTCAACCCTTTCTAAACCAAAGAGAATCCAATTTTAGAATTCAACCGCTGTATATTTTAAGGAAAACAGAGAGGGGAAGAGAAGGAATATAACAAAAAAAAAAAAAAAAAACTATAGTAAACAGACATAATGGCCAAGGAAGTGATGCCCAAACTAGACATCACGTCGGCGACCAAGTATGTTGTCCTCCTGGATCTCTTTTGAGCTAGCTTCTCCACTACATGTGTGGGTATTTAGATCTGGGTATCCTTAATGTCATCTGATCCCACCTCCTCTGTGACGGTTTCATTTGGGGATCTTGTTTCTTTTACTCCAACATGAAACAAACTATGAATTTGGATTTCTTCTGAGTTCCGACCATTTAATGGTCATGAAGTG